ATGTACCAGAACTTACTATAATTGTAGTTGATTTACAAAACATTTGTCTAATTATCCAATTGGTACAATCCGTTCTATAGTACCTCAACATCCTCAGTACAGCTGGAAACACTCTATCTTGAACGAAAATTTACTAGTTACGCCCCTATCACTATCATTAATATGAATAAGAAAAAGCAGAGGCCCAAGCATTGAGCCGTGAGGCATTCCACTAGTAACAAAAGTCCAGTTTGATTGGATTCCATTTATAAAAACCTTTTGACTTTTCTCATACAACCACTCTACAATCCAATTACCTAATCTCTCCTGAATCCCCTGTGATGCGATTTTTTTTTAGCTAGTCTTTGGTGTAGCATCTTATCAAAACCTTTTCGAAAATCTAAATACACCAAGTCCACACCCTGTCCATCGCTAAGATAGGAAATAACAACCTCGAAAAGTTAAGAGATTAGTAAGGCAAGATTTTATATTTTTTGTGAATCCATATTGACTTTCTTTTAGAATATCATATATCATTAATTGATTTTGAAAAAACTTCTTTTAACAGAACGTTTCACACTACAGGAATAAAACTAAGTGGCCTATAATTTCCAGGGCAACTCTTACTACCCCGTTTAAACTTGGAAATATCAATAGACAGTGGGCAAGTGCCCGAGTACTGAAGAATTACTCACGTTACTTCTGTTTTTTATTAATATAGAGAATATAGAATATTTATCCTCCTTTAAAATCCTAAAGAAATACTGTTTGGTCCCAGTAATTTATTATTTTCAAGCTATTAATTTTAATATTGGTCACCAAGGAATTAATATATATATATATATCAAATCAAGTCAATTCTAGTATTTCTCTTAAATTACTCAGAGTCAGGAATGTTAGTAATATCATCTATTGTGCAAAAGAGTATATAAAAGCTCAGTCATCTTATAATCTTCAACAAAACTTTGGCATCAGAATTCTTTAAGAATCCGGTTCCTATTTCATTATTTTTCTCGCCTTTAAGATAGCTAAAACAATTTCTGTTAGTTTTGACATTATCAGCCAGCTTTTTCTCATAAGCATTTTTCTATTTTCAATTTTTTTTTGCCAAATCTTTATTTTTCATATAGTTCTGTAAATCTTCTATCCTACCAGTAAACGTAAACTTCTTATATTTATGACATTTATCTCTGTTTACTCCTTTATGTCTTTACTAAGCTAATTAGGTTTCACCTTTCTCTGTGGTAAGAGAAGCCACCATAATATTTCTGATCCCTCAGTTACTAGCTATATTTGTAAGAATTTCAGCGTGCTTTGAGTTGGTTTTAAATTAGATTGTCAGCCAAGAGAGGGCCACTAAAGTTCTCGTTCTTTAGTTACTCACTGGAGCAAAGATATGAAAGATTATTGTATTATAAAACATTAAACATAGTGACAGTGATCGTTTCTAGTGGTGACAGAATGATGTCCTAAGAGTTTGACACTCCCTTGTTGAACTGACATTGGCCCACATTCACGTGGGTAGCACATGCAACTATAAAATGGAAGAGAAAGCGATGGTGCTGTATATATATATATAATTGTTTTTCTCGTTTTTATATCTTATTCGATTCTGAGACATCATTTAGATTTTAAGTCTGTTCTAAGATATAGTTTGTTTAATGTTTTTGATTCCATTTCAGCTTTTATTTTAGGTTTCTTTGCTTTCGGACATTTTAAAGTATTTATTTGTTTAGATTGAAGCTTATTTTCAAGATATAATTATGAAGAGAATCTTATTAAAAGTCTCGCTTCAGTTTTTCACAGCACACTTTAACTCTTGCAAATACACGCTCATGAGTTGTTAACAATAAATCTAAAATAAAAGCCTCCTGGTTGGCTCACTGACTATTTGGTATCAATTCATGAAGCCTCTCTTTCTCATTGTTTGACTCCATACGTTCCTAATCAATGTGTCTAAACTTAAAGCATTTCATAATTATTTTGCATCAGTATTTTTACTACTAACATTCCTTATCTCAATATATAATTTCTCATTGACCTCATCAGTCTGATCAGATGACCTATCACATTAGCCAATTAAAAGCTTTATACCCTTGAAACTCCTAATTGTAACCCATATAGATTCAACTTCCTGATTACAATTTTTTATTTCATCGTTCTCAACAGGCTACATTTTAAATATTATACACAAACCATCTCAGCCACTCTTGTAATAAGTATAAAAATATTAATTAAGTTATAACTTGGAATATGAAAATAAGTTATAATATCAATGTTTCTCAAATGCAATCAAGATTCGGTAATTCTCATCCTATCATAGTCTTCCACTTCAACTTGGACCATGAACTCATCCATTTTGTTCTTAATACAGCTACTATTGGAAATTATAACACCTAAGTTTATTCTTGAATCGACTACGTTTACCTTTAAACCTGACAGAATTATTTTTAAAAATAACAATGCCCCCTAGCTGTTTAGCAGTACGTCTATGGGCTAATAATGCTAAAATCCGGATTTCAATACCCCTAGTGGGCACAGCTCAGATAGTCCAATGTGTAGCTTTGTGCTTAACCACAAACACACAATAAAATAGTAATTTAAATTGTTATGTTCTAAATCTGCTTTTCCACTTTGTAATAGCTATCTTGTTAACTTGTTTATTCTCTACTGGATGCAAACCGTATGTAAAACGCTTATCTACGCATACATATGCCAAACAAATTTCATGATAGAACACATGGCATTTTATCATTCCAAACAGGTATATTACGGTGACCTCCATCAAGAAAGAAATTCAAGGTTCTCCATTATCCAACATTACTGTATTATACGCTGTTACCATTTTAAAATATTTTTTGATTGAACAGGGCTGAGTAAGTTCAAAGAATGTCAAGATTATTTCAAGAAAGTAGCGTTTAGTTTTAAAAGTAGTTCTGAGTTTCAAAATCGTTTAGCTTTATAGTTAAAACAAAACAAAAGAACAGCAGTAAATCAGTAGAAACTAATGTTAACCATTCTTACAAACATCACGAGCAGCATTCTAATGATTTCATTCTATCAAACGAGTTTTCTCTCTCAGTAAATGATTACCTTTATCCCAGCATCCATCTGTAAAATAAACAGATTCTATTTTTCTTGGCCATTCTAGTATCTTTTTCTAATCTCAGCTGGCTGATTCACTAAATTTGCATGGGGGTTGGTCCTTTGGACCGACCAAGTACTGAAGAATTAATCTTGACTATAATTCCAAATTTACGAAATGTGGCAAGCTTTTAGTCAACAGTAAATATCTATTGTATACAGAAAATTAGTTATGTTACTAAAGCTATTTCCGTTAAATACCGACGTCAGTCTGATTCAGCCTCTGACAAATCGGAATGCAAGGTGATGTTTATGTGAAAAATAAGCATACCTTTGCCCATCATACAGTTTACAGAATGTATTTGCATAGTCTCTACAACCAGAAACGTGCATATCTAAAGCTTTTCAAGCATTCCTGTATATTATACCTGGTATTTTCTTTACTCTAACACAAACTATTGAGAAACCAGGAATGAAGGATAACGTGAAAAGTTGATAAATCTGACATACACGGATAATACCATGTAGAATGGCACTCTGTAGAAGGTCAGGATATGCCCACTTTGACCCAACCCATGAACAAGAGCTTCGTGTGCAGAAATATAATACTTGAAAAATTTTTTTGTGTACAAAACTTGAAGATAGCTTTTATATGCGGAAACATAAGTTAACATAAGCTAAGTTCTACGTTGATCTGACTCATTTTATAAGCTGTACTATTTCCTATAGATCATTTTCCAG